CGCCCCGCCCCGCGGCCCCGCCCCGCGGCCGCCATTTTAAGTGATCAGCAAACGGGTCGCTGGGGCCAAGTGTCTGGCCGCCATCTCGGCGCCGGTTGCCGGAGTGGCCGAGGTGGTGGGAGAGGGGCAGGCGCCGAGCATGGGAGGGATGCAGGAGGCGATGGCGCCATCTTGGCAGTGGCAGAAGCGAGGTCTCCGTGCTGATGCATCAGGGGAGGGCTCGGCGCAGGCCCTGCCTTTTTTGGGGATGTCCGCGGCTGCCTTCGCGAGCGTAGGGCACTCCCACATCCCAAGGAGAGTGAATGCATGTGCGTCTTGGCCATGAGATGCGGCAGTCACATCTCAGCGAGGCCGGGGCTGCCATATTGGGGTTTCTGACACAATTGCGGGGCTCCTCGGCGGCCATTTTGAGGAGGTTTTAAGTTCTGGACTTCCCGGCCACCGTAGCGGAGGACTGTCCCCGTGTCCCCGCCCCAGCCTTGGACGTCGGGATTGTTTGATCCAGTTCGGAGGGGCTTTACGGCGGGTAAGGACCCCAGGAAGTTGCTGTTGGGGTTAGGGAGTAGGACGGGCGAACTTCCTGGGAAGCAGCAGCGGGCGTGGCCGGAGTTATTGCCCGTGCTCCCCAGGAGGAGGAAATGGGAGCCCGCTGGCCCCAGGGACCTTGGGCACCCGCCCGCCCCCTGCCTGGGTCCACTCGGTCTCCGGAAGGGCCTGTAGGCTTGATTTGCCTGGCTCGCCGCCCTCCTACGGGAGCATCCCTACCGACAGCCTAGGCCTTCCTTCTTGGGTGCTGGACACCGTCCTGCGTCGCCCCAAATTGCAGTTAGGCTAGAACGAGCGAAGGAGGCTTGTCTGTCACCTAACCACTCCCCGGGAGAGGGAGAGCCGCGGCCGGGTCATTGCCGGCGAGTGTCAGAGAAGGCGTGCATGGCATCCAGCGCGAGACGGCCAGTGGGTGGCTCTGGAGGCCAGACGGCTCCGCACCTGTTGGGTCTGCAATGTGAGAATTCTTGAGGTGGGCGGAGTCTGAAGATGCTCTTGCCTTGGCCCTGAATCAAGCCGGTGGCCAACCGCGCAGGCTCTATGCTCAGACCAGCCAGAGTTCAAAGTCTTGCTCTGGCGCTGACTGTGCAGCTTTGAGCAGTTCACCTCGCCAAGGCCCAGTTTCCTTCTCTATAGGATGGGAGAATAACCGTTTGTGAAGTTTGTAGAGTCCCCCCAAGAGTTAGCACTCACTAGACCTTTCCTGAGCCATAACTGTAGTTATTGTTGACTTCTAGTCTCTGGCTCCTCAGTAGCTTTCTGAAGTCCCTTCCTCTCCTGTGACCCTCCCCTCCCCGCACCCCAAGGCAGCCCTCACCCTGAGCCCAGGGCAGCCCTGGCTCCCTCCCAGCACCCCAGTCCCTGGCTGACCTTGGCCTGGGCTTCATTCCCTGAGAAGGAAGCGGTGATCAGGTAACTGGTGGGGTGAGTCCTTGGCCCAGACTGAAGGTTCCTTCTTTTTTTTTTTTCATAATTTTATTTATTTATTTATTTCCCCAAAGCCCCAGTAGATAGTTGTGTGTCAAGCTGCACATCCTTCCAGCCGCTGCATGTGGGACGCGGCCTCAGCATGGCCGGAGAAGCAGCGCGTCGGTGCGCGCCCAGGATCCAACCCAGGCCGCCAGCAGCGGAGCGCGCACACTTAACCGCTAAGCCAAGGGGCCGGCCCTGAAGGTTCCTTCTTAATCGCAGCATCTGTGTGCACAGAGTTGGAGGCGTTAGACCCTGTGCTGCTGGGAGAGCGAGGGGAGGGAGGATGTGGACCGTGGGGGCCAAGGAGGTTCTGAGGCAGCCAGCAGATCTCCGAGAATGAGGCAGGTGAAGAGTGAGTCTAGGGCTGCGGGGACGGGAGGAGCCTCCTCTCCACCAGTGATGTTCTGGCCCAGCTGTGGCCTGGGCACGTCATCCAGAATCTGCTCTACTGGAGACCAGCATGTAGAGCCCCTGGCTGGTGGGGGCTGCCCTGGCTAGTGCCTCAGCTCAGGATGCCCACCAGGAGTCACTCTGTGGGGGATGGGGCACCCCATCCCTCCAAGGACAGTGCGTGTTCCCACCCACCCTCCTGCAGACCACTTGGGTTCAAGCCACAGCTGCTGCTGCTTTTTTGTGTGTGTGTGAGGAAGATTAGCCGTGAGCTGATATCCGACGCCAATCCTCCTCCTTTTTTTCGCTGAGGAAGATCGGCCTTGGGCTAACATCCATGCCCATCTTCCTCTTCTTTATATGGGATGCCACCACAGCATGGCTTGCCAAGTGGTGTGTCGTTGCGCGCCCAGAATCTGAACCTGCTAGCCCCGGGCCACCACAGTGGAGCCTGCGCACTTGACCACTATGCCACCTAGCACACCCCTTGGCACAAGCCCCAGCTTCTTAACTGTGGTCTTGGGCAAGGCACCGAGCCTCTTGCCTGTTTCCATCTGTGGAGGGGAATATACAGTTGGCCCCCGTGGGGCATTTCAGAGCCTGAATGAGCTGATGCAGGGAGAGTGGAGTGCCAGGCTTCGGGTGGTGACTGGTGCGCGATTACGGCTGTCTCGGTGGTCAGAGCTCACCCAGCCCTGGGGGAGGTGGCGAGGAGGGCAGGGCCTACCTGGTGTGAGTCTTTCCCCTCAGAGGGGGTCTCTGAGCACCCATGGTGCTGTCCACTTGTGTCTGTTGCAGGAGTGATTCCAGGCCTCCATGTCGTTCAGTGCACTGACGCCTGCAGTGGGAATGGGGTGAGGAAGGGTTTGAGGGGGAGCAGGGCTGACCCCCCCAACCCCTCCCCCGCGTCCCCGGCCCTGTGGTCTCACTGGGTGCAGGTCCTCCTCCTGGGGGCATGACAGACAGAACGGGAGGCTCACGATGGTGAGTGAGCCGGCTGGCCGGCTGCTCTTGCTTCTCTGGACACGAAGGCCTCCTGGGCCGTTTCTGCCCCCTTGCTTCACTCACCCGATGCTCACAGCAGAGACCCTTTGCCGGCCTCCGGACTAAGCCTGTAGGGCCTCACCTGGTGGGCCTTCCCTTCCTGTCCACTTTATTTTTTTTTAAGCATTGATTAATAAATAGCAATTATCGATGACCACTAGTTATTAGCGTGTCTCTCATTTGTAGAGTGTTTTACAGCTATTTTCATCTCCATAAGGGAAGTGACATAACTCTGTGGAATTTGAGTCAGTCGCCCACGTTCAAATCCAGCTCCACTTCTTACCTGCTGTGCACCTTGGGGCATGTCACCTAACCTCGCTGGGCCTGCTTCCCCATTCATGAAATGGGAAATGAGAACATCTCATGGGTGTTCTCTGATCAACTGAGAGCACACCCATGCCTGGCACAGCCTACGTTTCCAGTGGGCAGAACAATGATGGCCTTAACCATAATCTTGACTCTCTCAGCAGCCACCATAGTTGAGTGTTACCAGTTCAGGTTACAGTGTGGGGAAACTGAGGTCAAGTTGGTACTCTTGGGAGAGACGAGGCCATCCGGTTGCAGCACTACCAACCAGAGCAGGTGGGCGGCTAGGAAATGCCTGCCTTGGACAGGAGCCCAGCATGCCCTGTGCTTGGGAGTTCCCAGGACCGCCCTGGCCGCCCCAGGTGTGCCCCTCCGGGCTCCACAGTCTCCCAGCCTGTCACCTGGCAGGTGAGGCCAGGGGAGGATGCGGCTGATGCAGGGCCCGGTCCCCCCTCCACTGACTTTGCTGACAGACGGGACACAGCAGCACAGGGCAGAGAAGAGCTGTGATTTGCCCAGCCCCATGAGGCTGCCACACCAGCAATGGGCTGAGGGGAGGGGGCTGGGAGGCTGTACTGTTGATGTGGGAGGAAGTGGAGAAAGCAAAAGGGGTGGTCCTCCCTCTACCATTCCCACCCAGCTGGGATCAAATCCCCGTCTGCCCTGTACCAGCTGTGTGTCTGTGGGCCTCAGTTTTCGAATCTGACAGATGGGGAAAACCCACCTCCCAGAGGTCAGGTGAGAATCCCGTGAGATGGTGCAATGAAGCCCTCCGGGTGTCGGGTGAGGCCTTGACAAGGAGTAGCTGGTTTCTTCTCATTCGCTGACCCTTCCCTTCCAGGCCCAACTCCTGCGCCTCCTGCCCCTCCCACTCCTAGGATGCTCTTGCTTAGCTCCCAGGTTATGCTTCAGAAACACCGGGCTCTCTGAATGGGGACCCATTACTCAAATCACAGCAGGTTTGTGGTCAAGGCAGCCTGGCTCCCAGCCACTGGCTTGTTCCCGTGTCAGTGCTTTGGACGGCATCTTGGTGGTCCCTTGGCTGGCCCCAGGCTGAGGGAGCAACATAAGGACAGCTGGTATCACCCAGCAGGGGCTGATAGGGTCCCACCGCAGATGTGCCCAGAGCTTTTTGTAGGCTGGCCCACCACAGCCATGCCCCATTCTGGGCACCCTGGTCCCCGATGACCCCCCCCGGGGGCGGCCAAGCTATACCCCAGATGGATGGCCCTCAGCCTGGGGGAGAGAGCAGCCTGGAGCTCTCTCACTGCCTCTGTCCACAGACCCACCCTGTCTGGCCTGGCCCTGCAGCGACCAGTGGTGTAGCCACTCTCTCCCCTGGGAGAAAAGATGCGAAGGAGTTGAGGCTCGGGCCTGTGTGGGTCAACTGCACTCGGGCCTGCCCTGCTGGCTGTGCCTGCGGTGATGGCCTCCCCGTTCCTCTTCACCCACTGCCCTGTCAGCTCCAAAGATGAGGCTTTGAATTTTCCAGGTCTCGTTCAGTTTCTTGCTCCTTCTGCAGTTCTGGAAACCAAGCTCCATCTATTGGAACGGGTGGTCCTCACCCTGGGGACGAGAAGATGGCAGGGAGGGGACAAGACACCAGGTCCCAGGCACACGAGGGTGGGCAGGGAGCTGCAAAGGGCCTAGGCTGGTCTCCAGATGCAGGTGTGTGGGAGTTCTGGGCTTGGGGACCTGGCCAAGGCTAGGACACAGCCCCACACTCCCCCGGGCATGGATGGGGGTGATGACAGAACAAGGACAGCAGAAGCTGTGGCCAGGCCTGCCTGGGGGCTCCTGGCCCCTCTGGACAGAGGGCACAATGCCAGCTGCCCCAGACTCCTGCGCCTCTTCGAGTGCATGGGAAGGCCAGGCCTGGTCGGCCCACCCCACTACTGGAGGCACCTCCATCGCAGTGGGGCAAAATCTATATTCGTTTTCGATTGCTATGCAACAAATGACTACAAACATAGCAGCTTAAAACAACATAAATTTATTAAACCATAGCTCTATGGGCCAGAAGTCTGGGGGCTCAGCTGGGCGCTCTGCTCAGGGTCTTACCAGGCTGAAATCAAGGGCTCGGCCTAGCGGGGCTCTCAGCTGGAGCCTGGGGGAAGAATTCCCTTCCCTGCTTGGTCAGGTTGTTGGCCGGGAGCAGTTCCGTGCGGTTGTAGCACTGAGGTTTCCCTCCCCTGGGCTGTCAGCTGGAACTGCCCTCAGCTCCTGGAGGCTGCACACGGTCCGTTGCCACGTGGCCTGCTCCATCTTCAAAGCTAGCAATGAAGAATCATCTCCTTGGTGTTGAGTCCCTCTCACACTTCCCATCTCGCTGACTTCCTCCAGAAGAAGAGGGCACGCAGGCCAGACCGAGCACCAGCTCACTCGGGTGTCTCTGGGTGCCCAGGCCCAGCCCCAGCCGGAGCTGAGAATGATTAAGTATGGACAGGAAGGGGAGGGAGGGAGGGAGGGAGCCTGAGACCCCCAGACACATGGGAGGCTCCTGGAGGAGGATAGGCAGGTGGGGTTTTGTGAGCCCCAAGGAAGAGGGAAAGGATGGATGGATGGACGGCTGGCCCCTTAGCTTTATGAGGCCTCTGAGCCTCAAGTCAGAAGGGGCAGGGTGGGGGCGATGTGCAGGTCCTGAGATGAACCAGCTGGCTGAGGGACCCCAGCGTCTGGCTCCAGGCCAGTGTCACTACATCAGAGGCTGAGGCGAACCTGAATCCAGGGGCTGTAAGTGGCCACGTTGGTATAAACACCAGGACGGTTGGGCAGGGCACAGCCCTTTCCCCAGCTCACCACACCCACCAGGACCCAGCGCCCAGACTTCACACAGGTCAGTGGTCCCCCAGAGTCACCCTGCAGGAGAAAGGCGAGCTTAGGTGCCAGCCCTCCGGGGACTTCAGATGGCAGTCCCCCAGGCGGTGCCTCTGGGTTAGGGGCCAGGACGCTGAGCCTGGAGGTGGTATCTCCTGGGTCCTGGGTTCTAGGGAGGTAGGGTGCTGGGCACAGGGGTGTGAACTCTGGAGGGTCCAGGCAGCTTTCCAAACCTGGCAGGCATCCTTGTGGCCCTCGATGTAGCCGGCGCACAGGTTCCTGGGCAGCACTATGCGCTCAGTGCGGGGCACACTGGTGCCCACGTGGTAGAGGCGGTCACAGGTGCGTGCATCCAGCAGGGGCACTCTGACTCCCTGCAAAGTTCGCCACTCTGGGAGTGGCACTGGGGGGAGAAGGGAGACTTTTGAGAGCTGGGAGAGGGTGAAGTGGAAAGCAGGGATCGTGGAGAAGCCTACTCGAAAGTCTGACCTGCCAGGCCAGGACTCCCCAGCCTGACTGGGAGGAGGTTCGGGTCCCTGGTGGTCGCGCTGGGCCCCCAGATTGGGGCAGTTGGGGGCTGGGATTCCCGGTCACAGGGAGGTGCAGGGGGATCTCTTTTCCCTCCCACAATGCCCCCGTGCCCCCTCTCTGCCTCACCTCCCGGGTGGAGACTGCCCCAGCCAGTGACCCAGCACGGTGTGCCGGGGGGGGGGGGGGGCCCGGGCTCGGGCAGGCAGACGGGCTGGACTCGGGCGCTCAGGGGCACCGGGCGGCGCAGCTGCAGCAGCGCCAGGTCGCCGCGGCCCCCGTCCTCGGAGTAGTCGGGGGGCAGCAGTACCCTCCGCACGGTGGCCGAGAGGGCGCGGGGCGAGGCAGGACCCAGGTGCAGCGCCCCCAGGCGCACGCGGTACTCAGATGGCAGCACCAGCCTGCGAGACAGGGCCAGGGCCTCTTACAGCGCCCCGCCGCCCCGCGTCGCCGCCGTAGGGCCGCAGTCCCTGCCGCACAGTCCCCGCGCCGCCGCCAGGTGGCGCCCCCGCGCGAGAGCCCTCGGGGAGCAGGAGAGCGCCCCCGCCCGAGGCTGGCCTCTGGCTGCTCGCTGACCTCGGGAAGCAGTGCGCCGCCGTCAGTACCCACTTCGGGGCGATGAGGGAATCCCCGCACACGTGCGCCCCGCGGTGCTGGATGCTCGCCTGCCACGGCCACTCCCCGTCGCGGGCGTCCTGGCCCCCCACGATCCGACTGGACACGCGAGGCTGCCCGCAGGCTGCGAGAGGACAAGGGGAGGGCGAGGGTGGGCCGAGAACTGGGGGCCTGGGAGGCGAGTGGGGACGAGGAGACACAAGGCCAAAGCCAAGGAGGCATTGGCGCTGGGGGACTCTGAGGCTTCCTTACCTGCAGACTCCAGTGTCCCAGCAGCGCCTGGAGGAGGAAGCAGGGAAGGGACTAGATTATGGATTTAGTGTCAGATAACGGGGTGAGGGGGGAAGATCAGAGATTAGGAAGGGGAATGATCAGAGATTAGGAAGGGGAATGCAACATACTTGTCGCACTGACCTGGTGCCAGACTTTTGTGCAATCAGTTACAGCATTTAACCCTCCCCGGAACGCTGTGAGGTGGGGACTATACCCATTACGCAGATGAGTACATGCAGGTTTGGAGAGCCCAAGGGCGGTGACAGAACTTAAACCCAAGATTAGAATGCTCTAGAGTGCTCTAGGGGAACCCGGCCAGAGAGGGGTGAGATGGGACATGGGATCCAAGGTCGCTGTGGTCAACACCCCTAGCCCCTGCCCCTACTCACACAGCAGCAGTGGGAGCAGGACCTGGAGGCAGGAAGCCCTCCTCATTCTGTCTTCAGGGCTGGGCCAGGTAAGGATGGCAGTGCCCAGGGCTAGGACTCTGGTCAGAGCCTGCAGGGAGAGAAGGGGAGGGTCCTAGCCCCTGGCACTAGCCCCCAGAGGCCCTTCTGTCTTCCCTCAGTCCCTGGTTGGTCCCCGACCTATCCCCATGGTCCAGGCTCTATACACTTCCCTCTGCCCAGGCCCTGGGGACCACCCCCACCCTCCCCAGCCCCTGCGAGATTTGGGCTCCCTAGGCCTCCACATGAGCCCTGGAGCCCGTCCCCTGCCCCAGCCTCTATTTCCATTGCCCCACACCCGCCCTGGCAGCCCCTGGACCCTGCTCTCACTCTCTCAGCGCAGCCGGTGCCCTCCCTGCTGACTGGGCTAGGGGAGGACCTGGGGGCTTAAAGGGCCAGGAGGCGACGGGGGCCAAGCCAGGGGGTAATTAAGGAGGCCAGGGCGGGGCTGCAGCTTTACCAGTCCAGCCTGGAACAAGGATGCTTTGAGCAGTGCTTCCGAGGTGGCAGGGAGGGGACACCTGGATTTCTCAAAGGAAGCCTGGCTTGGGCCAAGATACTGAGAACTGGGGGCGGGAGCCTGGGCACTGTCAGGTGAGTGGGAGGCGGGGGGCTGCTGTCAGGCCAGGAAGCTCCGGAGGATCCTTGGCAGCTCATCTCTGAACCCGATCCTGGCTCCGGGCTCCTTGCAGTGCTGGCTGCCGGGGCTCTGAGCGCTATTGTTCTGTCCAGAAATCCCAGCTCGGCCAGCCCCATGTGGAGCCCAGTCCCCAGGCCTGGCCAAGCCCCACTCGGGTTTGCAGGAACTCAAAGTGGGGAATGGCTGGTTCAAAGCTGGCAGCACCCCTTGTGAGGCAGAAGCAGACCTGAGCTTGGGAAACAGCCTACTCTTCAATTTGGGGTGGCCAGGACAGCGAGGTTGCTGATCTCGGTGAGGCTGGGAGATGCTGGGCACAGGACTCAGTGGAGGGCTGCACCTGGACCAGGCCCACCACCCAGAAGGCTCTCGAGCCTCTGTCTACCTAGTCAAGTCCTCCTCATCCCGCAGCCCTCCACTCCATCCCCTCTCGGGGGCCTTCCTGCCCACCATACCTCCTCCCTGGCCACATCACAGTGTGAGTTGACGTGCAATGGAGGAGGCTTGATTCTCGTCTGTTTGTCTCCCCTCCGTGAGGCAGGATCTGGGTCTCTGTCCCTGTCTTAGTCAGCTCAGGCTGCCAGAACAGAATACCACAGTCTGGGCAGCTTAAACAACAGAGATTTATTTCTCACAGTTCTGCAGGCTGAAAAGGCCAAGAGCAAGGTACTGGCAAGGTGGGTTTTGTTCTGAGACCTCCTCTTGGCTTGTAGGCAGCTGCCCTCTCGCTGGGTGCTCACAGGGCCTCTTCTTTGTGCCTGTGGGGGTGGGGGGCTGAGGGAGAGAGCGCTCCCTGGAGTCTCTTCTATAAGGACACTAATCCTACAGGATCAGAGCCCCACCCTCATGACCTCATTTCACCTTAATAAAGGGTCTATCTCCAAATACAGTCACATTGGAGCTTAGGACCTCAACATGGGAATTTTGGAGAGGACACAGACATTCAGTCCATAACAGTCCCCAGTGGCCAGAACAGTGCCCAGCGTAGAGTGTGCACTGAGTATCTGGGGGTGAGTGGAAAGGGTGAGCAGGGCAGCAGGCTGGGGGTGAGTGCGAGGGATCCGAAAGAGGGGACCTGGTGGCGGCCGGGCCCCAGGTCCAGCGGAGTGGAGGGTGGGCAGCCTCAGGCCTGACCTCTGCCGTCCAGGCCCCAGGACCACCCGGAGCCCACGCTCGAGGTCTCTGGAGTTGGCTATGGTGCGCCCTCCCTCCAGCTCTGAGAGCTTGGGGGAGCCTCTTCTTCTGTGAAGGCCGCCTCGTGGGCTGCTGTGAAGACTAGTGGGTGAGCCAGCTCTCCAGCGCAGGGCTCGGAGCCGTGCCTGGCTCATGTCCACGCCACAGACGTGCCACGAGGATGAAAGACGCCAGCCCTCCCGTTCTCCCTGCAGCTGCTGACCTCATCACCCCAGCTCAGCCGCCCTCAGACGGCTCGGCCGGCCGGGGTGGGGTCAGGAGGGCAGTGTTCCCCTTGGTGCAGAGTTGGGGGCAGCTGGAGAGGCTGGTGGGAGTGAGAGTGACAAGGGACTCTGGGAACATACAGCCATCTCTGGGGACATGGTGAAACTTCAGAGGGGAGCTGGCTGGAAGACTGGGCGCCCTGTTCAGCAGGGGACCTCGGTCTCTGCCCGTTGGAATTGGGGTGAAGGGGGAAGGCTAGAGGATACCTGGGGACATGGACAAGGAAACGATGCTCACTGAGAAACTGGCTCGTGTCGGGGAGGGTCCGGAACTGGCTGAATAATGAACAGTCGAACCTTGGGGGGAGTAGGAAGGGAACCCTGGAAAGGGCCCCCAAACCCAACTCCTGTCTCAGACTGAGAAACTGAGGCGCAGACCCCTGCTGAGCCCATAGCCCCTGCAGCCTCACTCTTGAGTCCCTCTGCAGAAATGGCCCCTGGGCAAATGTCACCTACTTGCCCCGGGAGGCTGCCTGGCTCACAGCCACCCTTCTCAGGGCCAGGGCTGAGTCAGCCCACCTTGTCTGGTGCCTAACCTGCCCCCAGGCCCAGGAGTGGGCAAATGACCCCAACTGAGGCCATCATCCTACCATGTCCCCGAGGTCACAGTGATTGGTCAAGGGGTGACACATGACCCAAACCCAGTGATCGGAATCCTCCCCTGGGATTTTTACTCTGGAGGAGGGAGAGAGAACCACTTGGGGCCCAGGCAGGGAGCAATCATAGCTGTGGCTACAGGCGAGGACTCTCAGCGGGCCTGAGAGCCTGGAACCTTCCAGGCTGAGAAAGAGGGTGCTGCGGTGTTGCAGCTCCTAATTCCAGTCATCCTCGCCCTCCCGGGCTGCCCTTAGTCCCTCATCCTCGCCCTCCTGGGCTGCCCTTTGTCCCTCTGACGCAACTTTCCTTCACTCATGCTAGTTCCAGGGCATTCAGTTACTTACAATCAACTTCCGTAAATGCCAAGGATGAAAACAAAATGACGCTATTAACAGCCCCCAGTGGCCCCAGAGCACGGTCTGACAGGGTGGGGGGAAGGTGCCCCCCAGCCTGCGGCCCTGCCCAGGTGTGTCTCAGTGTGGCAGTGCCTGGCTCACTGTCCGCAGCACAGGACTCTTCTCTGACAAATACACAGCCGGCCCTTGGCCAGACCCAGGGGCACCCGGAGAACCAGCAGCGGGGGGCAGGGAGGGGCCTGGGGAGACCAGACAGCAGCAGCCTCTTCCGAGTCCAGCTGGTGTGCAACATGTTGCGGCAGATCCTGGCCCTCTGGGACGGCCGCAGCCAGAGCCCCACATCATGCTGGGAGAGACCCGGGGTCATCCACATCAGCCTGGGAGAGACAAAGCTGTTCGGGTGAGCCAGACCGTGGGGAGTGGGCACGCTGTGGCACCTGGCGGGAGTCCTTCTTAGGCTCTGGGTAGGTGGCCCCGAACATGACCCTGTGGGTGATGTGTGCCTAGGCAGGTGCCAAGGTGTTCCTGTGGACCAGTGCGTCACACAGGCCCTGGGCCACCAGAGGCTGCTCTGCCTGCTGCTAGAGGAGAGGCAGTGCCAACCCTGCCAGGCGGTCCTACAGGGCTTTGTCGCAGGGCGGCCGGGCTGAGGCCAAGCGCTTGACCGCCTATTTAATGCCTATTAAATAGCACTGTCCTCCAGCAACACATAGGACACCAGGCAGAGAGTGCTCTGCGTGGGGTCAATTCGGAGGGCCTCTGGGGGATGTGAGATGGGACCACCCTCAGGTTTCAGCTCCTGGGGAGGGTGAGCAGTGGTACTGGAAATCTCAACGATGCAGGAGAGTCCCACAGATTCTCAGAAGACCCCGCCACCCAGGGATCTGCTGGCCCCTCTGAGTCAGGGCTCGACAAGTCGACACGCAGTGAGAGGTGGACACAGGCCCTTGTGAGCTAGGTGACTCGGGCAGTCATGTGACCTCGCTGAGCCTCAGTTTCCTTACTATGAAAAGGAAACCCTCACAGGGTTGCCACGGGGCATGACCCAAGTGCAGTGCCCTACAGACCTGTGCAGCTGTCGGGGTGGGGCAGAGCCGAGGAGGGCCCCCACTCCAAACTCTCCCACCTGCCTCCCCATAGCGGGGGCTGTGGGGGGTGGGGGGAGGAATCCAGACCCCCCAGAGCTTCTCACACCTTCCTGTGCTCACAGCACTGGGGGAGCTTGTGAAAATGCAGGTCCGCCTGAGCAGCTCTGAGCTGCCCCTGAGTCTGTCCCGCTGGCCTGGTCCCTTGGCCACGCTGAGGCCGGGTTCTGGGATCCCAGTGCAGGGGCCAGACACGCTGGAGCTGCTCTGTCCACCCAGACCACCTGAGGGCGCTGCAGCAGCTCCCCAGGCACTGAGCCCCCTCCGGGGGCGTGCTCCATCTGTGCCCCCATGACCACCCTCCACCCATGGGTGGTCAGGGGAGAACCGCCCATGCCCAGCGTCCTTGTCCTCCAGGGGGCCGATGCTGAGGCACATGCCCTGGGGTTCTCAGAGGGCCCAGCAGGACTGTGCCTCAGATGCCCACAATGGTAACCTCCTCGTTTGGCAAACGTCATCGGGTTTCTTCCTTCCCTGCCTCAGTTTCCCCACTCCTCCCTGGGGCTTTTGTATCACCTCCCAAATAAACTACACGCACCCCACTCCTGGTCCCAGGTTGGCCTCTGCGGGACAGTGGTGAGACTAGGAGCGTCTGGCGTCTGTGTGATGGGGAGCACCAGCTTGAGCCTGGGGGCGCTCGGGGCTGTCCTCCACAGCACCCCCACTCCAGTCCTCCTAGCCCCCAGGGACCTGGCGCTCCTAACGTCCTTCCCTAAACTATCTTTCTGACTGAACTGACCCGAGAGGGTTCTGCTGTTTGCAACCAAATCCTGTACAGTGCAGATGGTGGAGGAAGATTTAGGAGCCGGGGATGGGTCCTGGGATGGCCAGGACCTAGGTGACCGTGAGGCCACTCAGGTCCACAGATACTCTGCACAGCATCAAATTGAACATGCACACGTGTTTATTAGGAACGGGACAGAAAGGGACTGGGCCTGACCCAGCAGGCAGTCCTGCCACTGGGGTGCCCACAGTCCTGGGAGAATGTGCCTGGTGCTGTGGTAACTACTGCACCCTCACGGGCTCAGGTGCACACAGCCAGCTGCAGGAGTGGGGCAGCCCAGAGCAGAGCGAGGGGCAGCAGCAGCTGAGTGGGGTCCGGCTTGGGTGTGCTGCAGGCCATCAGCGTCTGGATCCAGCTGAAGTACCTACTGACGTTGGTGTAGATACCGGGCTGGTTGGGCCTCCCACAGCCCACTCCCCCGCTCACGATTCCAACCTGAATCCACAGCCCATTCTTTTCACAGGTCAAGGGTCCACCTGAGTCACCCTGGAGAGCAGCATGAGTGAGCCAGGCCTGGGGTGGGGCCGGAGGGGCCAGCAGAGAGGCCGGGAGAGCAGGAGGGGCTGTGGGGCTGGGCAGACTGGGTGCAAATCTTACTCCTCCCCCTGGAAACAAATAAGCCCCAGTTTCTGCATCTGCAAAGGGGCAACAGGCTCCACCCCCTGGGTTTCACGTGAGGATCAAAGGAGGTACAATTAACTTAAAGCAAGAAGCTTGTGTTACAGGCTGGATAAATAAGGGCTAGGATTATTTTCTCATGAATAAACTCTGAGGGTGGATTGGTGGGGGTCTTGCGGGTTGCTCTCAGGCCCAGGCTTGGGAGGGTGGTGCCTGGTTCCAGCAAGGCCCTGGTTTGGCCAGGGACACTCACTTTGCAGGAGTCAATGCCGCCTTCCTCAGCGCCAGCACAAATCATGTCTTCCCGGATTCGTTTGAGGACATGAGGCTGTTGAAACAGGTAGTTACACCTGGAATTGTTTATGATGGAGACCTGCACTTCCTGGAGATTGTGGGGAGGTGGCAGAGCTGCCAGGGGTTGAGGGTGGGAGAGAGAAAGACAACAACCTTAGCCTCTGCCATCTGAGACAGGGGGAGGATGAAGGGGGTGGACTCCCTGGGGCACCCACAGGCCTAGGCCGTTGCTCTAGCCCAGCAGCCAGCACATCGTGGTGATGAACAATCTCACAGAAGGACCCAATGGATGGAGAGGCTGTGAAGCGCCTCCTTGAGACTCAGTTTCCCTGTCTGTAGAATGGAGATAGCCCCTGCCGGAGCCAGTGGGGAGATTCCTTGGCTAAAGCATGCATAGGGGAGGGGTTGACACAGCTGAGATCGTTTATAATTAATATACTACAGCTGCAGGATCCAAGACGAAAACTTCCCAAATTTGATAAGAGATATGAATCTACACACTCAAGAGGCTGAACAACTCCAAGTAGGATCAACACAAGAAGATCCACGCTGAGAAACATTTTCATCAAAATATCAAAGGACAAATACAAAGGGGGAATTTTGTAAACAGCAAGAGAGAAGCTACATGTCAAGTATAAGGGATCTTCAACAAGATTAACAGCTGAATTCTTTTCAGACAGCCTAGAGGCCAAGAGGCTGTGGGATGACATATTTAAAGTGCTAAAAGAATAAAACAGTTAACCAAGAATTTTATATCAGGCAAAACTATCCTTCAAAAAATAAAGGAGACATTCCCAGGTAAACAAATGCTGAGAGGGCTCCTCACTAGTAGACTTACCCTACAAGAAACAGAAAACAGAGTCCTTCGGGCTGAAATGAAAGGACACTAACCAGTAACTTAAACCATAAGAAGAAATACAGACCACTGGTAAAGGTAACTACACAGGTAAATCTAAAAGCCGGTATTGTAGTTTTGGTTTATAACTTCTATTTTCCTATACAAAAGACAAATGCATAAAACAATAGTTATAAATCTCTGTTAGTGATCATACAATATATAAAGATGTAAATTGTGACAATAACAACTTAAAGGGGAAGAAGAGAGCTGTATAGGAACAGAGTTCTTGTACACTCTTGAAGCTAAGTTGGTATTAACTCAAAATAGATTGTTATCATTTTAAGTTGTTAATTGTAATCCCCAGTGCAACCGGTCAGAAAATAACTAAAAAATATACAGAACAGGAAATGAGAAGGGAATCAATATAGTACAGTAATAAAAATCAATTAAACACAAAAGGAGGAAATAAGAAACAAAAAAGATATGACAAGATATAGAAAACAAACAGAATAATGGTAGAAGTCCTTCTTTATCAGTAATTAATTTGAACTCCAATTAAAAGGCAGAGATTGGTAGAATGGATTAAAAACACAGGATCCAACTATATGCTGTTCACAAGATAATTTTAGATCCAAAGGGACACATTGGTGGATAGTGAAAGGGTGGAAAAAGAGATTCCATGCAAATAGTAACCCAAAAAGAGCTGAGGTTGCTACACTAATGTCAGACCAAATAGCCTTTCAGTCAAGACTTGTTACAAGGGTCAAAGAAGGACATTATATATTGATGTAAGTGTCAAATCTCTCAAGAAGATATAGTAATAATAAACATTCACAGACCTAACAACTGAGCCCCAAAATATATGAAGCAAAATTGACAGAATTGGTGGGAGAAATAGACAGTTCTACAATAACAGGTGGAGACTTCAATACCCCACTTTCACTAATGGATAGAACAATCAGAGAGAAGATCAATTAGAAAAGAGAGACCTTGAACAACACTACAAATTAACTAATCTAACAGACATATACAGAATAATCCACCCAAACAACAGCAGAATACACATTTCTCTCAAGTGCATGTAGAACAGTCTTCAGGATAGACAATATGTCAGGCCAAAACATAAGTTGCAATAAATTAGAAAAGACTGAAATCATGAAAAACATATTCTCCAGCCACAATGGAATGCGGCTAGAAATCAATTCAGTTTTCAGGAAAACTGAAAAATTCACAAATATGTGGAAATTAAACAACATACTCTTAACCAACGGATCAAAGAAGAAATCACAAGGAAAATTAGAAATTATTTTGAGATGAATGTAAATGAAAACACAACATACCAAAACTCATGGGATGCAGCAAAAGCAATTCTCAGAAGGAAATTTATAGCTAGAAACGCCTATGTTACTAAAGGAGAAAAATCTCAAACCAATAACCTAACTTACATCTTAAGGAACTAGAAAAAGAGCAAACTAAACCCCAAGGTAGAAGAAGGAAGGAAATAATAGAGGAATGTAAAAAATCAAACGAGGGAATAGAAAAACAATAGAGAAAATCAACAAAACCAAAAGTTAGTTCTTTGAAAGATCAACAAAATTGACAATGAAGTAGGGACATTACCACAGAGCTGACCTTATGGAAATAATAAGGACTTTAAGGGAATACTATGAACAATCGTATGGCAAGAAATTAGACAACCTAGAGGAAATGGACAAATTCCTAGAAACACACAAACTACCAAAACTGACTCAAGAAGAAATAGAAAATCTGAACAGACCCATAATAAGAGAAGAGATTGAATCAGTAGGCAGAAACCTCTCAATGAAGAAAGGCCTTGGACCAGATGGTTTCACTGGTGAATTCTACAAAATATGTGAAGAAACTAACACCAATCCTTCTTGAACTTTTCGAAAAAATAGAAGATGAAGGAACACTTCCTAACTCATTCAATGAGACTAACATTACCATGACACCAAAGCCCAGACAAGGACACCACAAGAAAAAGAAACTACAGACCAATATCCTTTATGAATATATATGCAAATATTCTCAACAAAATACTAGCAAATTGAATCCAGCAGCATATTACAAGAATTGTCCATCATGACCAAGTGAGATTTATCCCATGAGTGCAAGGGTGGTTCAACATATGAAAATCAATCAATATAACATACTACATACTACATTAATAGAACGAAGGGGGAAACCACATGATCATCTTAATTGATGCAGGAAAAGCATTTGGCAAAATCCAACACCCTTTCATTATAAAATCATTCAATAAACTAGGAATAGAGCAAACTTCCTGAACATGATAAAGGTCATATGTGAAAAACCCACAGCTAACATCATACTGAACGGTGAAAAACTGAAAGCTTCAGGAACAAAACAAGGATGCCAGTTTTTGCCACTTCTACTGAACATTTTACTGGAAGTTCTAGTCAGAGCAATTAGGTAAGAAAAAGAAATAAAATGCACGCAACTTGGAAAGGAAGAAGTAAACTATCTCTATTCACAGATGACATGATTTATATAGAGAAAATCACAAAGAATACACAAAAAAGGACTAGATTTAATAAACGAATTCAGCAAATTTGCAGGCTCCAAGATCAAGACACAAAAGTCAGTTATATTTCTAAATACTACCAATGAATGATTCCAAAAGGAAATTTTAAAAGAAATTTAATTTACAATAGCATCAAAAAGAATAAAATAGTTAGGAATAAATTTAACTGAGGAGATGAAAGACTTGTACACAAATAACTACAAAACATTGCTGAAAGAAATTAAAGAAGACCTAAATAAAGGGAAACACATCCTGTGTTCATGGATTGGAGACATAACGTTATTAAGATGCCAATACACCCCCAAAGCAATCTACAGATTCAGTGCAATCTCTATCCAAATCCCAATGGCCTTTTTAGCAAAAATTGACAAGTTGATCCTAAAATTCATATGGAATATCAAGAGACCCCAAATAACCAAAACAATATTTAAAAAGTAGAACAAAGTTGGAGGACTCACACTTTCCAATTTCAAAACACACTATAAAACTACAGGAATCAAACAATGAGGTCCTGGCATAAGAATAAACATATAGACTAATGGAATAGAACTGCAAGTCTAGAAATAAACCCATACATCTATGGTCAACGGATTTTTGATAAGAGTGTCAAGACAATTCAGTGGAGGAGAAAACAGTCTCTTCAACAAATGGTGCTTGGACAACTGGATATCCTAATGCAAAAGAATGAAGTAGGACCCCTACCTCACATCATATACAAAAATCAACTCAAAATGGATCAAAGACATAAATATAAGGCTAAAAATATAAAACTGAAGAAAACACAGGGGTAAATCTTCATGACCTTGAATTTGGCAATGCTTTCTTAGATACGACATCAAAAGCATAAGCAACAAAAGAAAAAATAATTTGGATTTTGTCAAAATTAAAAAATTTTGTAAATCAAAAGACACTATCAAGAAAGTGAAAAGAAACCTACAGAATGGGAGAAAATATTTGCAAATCATATATCTGATAAGGGTCTAGTACCCAGAATATATAAAAAACTATTACAACTCAACAACAAAGATAACTCAATCTATATACGGGTAAAGGACTTGAACAGCATTTCTCCAAGGAAGACATACAAATGGCCAACAAGCACATGAAAAGATGCTTAACATCACTAGTCATTAGAGAAATGCAAATCAAAACCACAATGAGATACTACTTAATGCCCACAAGGATGGCCAAAATAGAAAAATTGGAAAATAACAAGTGTTGAGGAGAATGGGGAGAAATTATAATGCTCGTTCATTGTTGATGGGAATGTAAAACGGTGCAGGCGCTGTGGAACAGTCAGTTCCTCAAAAAGTGAAACATAGACTTGCCATGTGATCTAGTAATTACACTCCTAAATATATACACAAAAGAATTAAAAAGAGGTGTTTAAAAAAAAATTTGTATACTAATGTTCATAGCAGCTCTATTCACAACACTCAAAAGGTAGAAACAACACCAATGTCCATCAATGAATGAATGGATAAACAAATTGCAGTACATCCATACAAGGGAATATTATTCAGCCATAAAAATAATGAAGTTCTGATACATGGATGAATCTTGAAAACATTTTGCTAAGTGAAAGAAGCCAAACATGAAAGGTCACATGTATGATTCCATTTACATGAAATAGCCAAAACAGTAAATCCATCGAGGCGGAAGCCTGGCTAGTGGCTGCCCAGGGCTGGAGGAGGGGTAACGGGAGCGCCTGATTCATGGTGACGGGGTTTCCTTTGGGAGTGATGAAAATGTTTTGGAACTTGACAGAGTTGATGGTTATACATTGTGAATGTACTAAATGCCACTGAACTGTATACTTTAAAATGGTTAATTTAATGTTATATGAATTAAACCTCAAAAAAAAAAAAAAAAGGAATGAAGTACAGACACACACACTACAACATGGATGCACCTTGAAAACATTCCTGAGTGAGAGAAGCCAGACACAAAAGAGCACATAGTGTGTGACTGCATTTACATGAGGTGTCCAGAATAGGTAAATCCATAGAGGCAGAAAGCAGATTAGTGGCTGCCAGGGGCTATAGCCCTAGGGCAATGTAAGTATGGGATTGCACTTTGAGATGATGAAAATGTTCTGCAATTAGGTAGTGGTGATGGTTGCCCAAATCTGTGAATATCCTGAAACTCACAGAGCTGTATACTTTAAGAGAGTCAATTTTATGGTTTGTGAATTAAATCTTAATTAAAAAACAAAAACAATGCCTGAGGCCTTTCTTACAAGTCCACCCCCAAAACTCCCACACCCCTGCAGGCTGGGGAGTGCAGTCTGGAGCCCAGCTGGCCTCCCTCTCCACCTGGCTTCCGGCTCACAGTCTCTGGAAGGGAGAGGAACTCAGCGTGGGTACAGAGGTCCTGCCGTTTCGCGGGGAGCAGGAGCAGAAAGCAGGTGAGGAGAGAATGCTGAGCCGGCCAAAGGAGGGGCCCAGCTATACACGGACGGGGGGGGGGGGGGCTGCTGTGGCTGGTGCCGCCTGAACAGGGGGACAAGGGTAACGCCTCCCTCCCCTGCCCCAGCCCCGTCTGTCCCCGGCCTCACGGTTTTTCTCATCGAGGTACCCCCAGCCGGTCACCCAGCAGTTGTTCCGGTTCTGGAACTCGGAGGAGGAGGCCGGGACACAGATGGGCTGGACGTACTTATTGTAGATGACGGAGGAGGAGAGCTTCAGCAGGGCGATGTCATTGAGCAAAGCCCCCTGGGACTGCGGGTACATAATAATATCCTGCACTCTGTAACGATGGTAGAAGGCCCACAGGTTCCAGAAAGGTGGCCTAGAAGACTGCTCGCCAAACTGGACCGTCCACTCTGAGGGATTCTTGTGCCTGGCAGGGGAGGAAAGAGGGGTCAGGGGTCCTCAAAGGAGGGTGGGCCACCTCAGCACACCTGGGCCAGATCCATGAGGCGAGACTGCCGGGGCTGCTACTGGGGCTCATCCTGAATGCTGTTAGCAGCTCTTCTTAGGGACCAACGCCTCCAGTGGAGAAATGGTGAGAGCCGGGAGACGCCACAACCCAAGTCCCAGACCCTGGTGATGTGGCGGGGCGGGGGGCAGGGTGCCTCCCTCTGCCTCTCTCTCATCTGGCCAGTGACTCAACTAGCCCCTCACCTCCAGGAGCCCTCCTAAGAAAAGAATGAGCAGAGTGGAATCAAAACAGCTTCCGTGGTGACTGTCGCCCCCAGCCAGGCTCTGTGCCCAGCACTTACCCACCTCAGCTTACTCCTCCCACCCCTGGTACACCTCCACTGGGAAGTGGGATGAGGAAGGTGAAGGCTGGTGGTGCCATTTGTGGAGAAGAGAAAACAAGAGAGAAAAGAAAAGAACAAGACACACCAATGTGCGTGGCAATCTTCCGGAAGAAAATGAACAAGGTTCCCACCAGAGGCACTTACAGGAACTCGCGTGGATGTAACCGGCTGCCCCCAGGCCTGGGGCTCAGGAGAACAGGAGGGCCAGGCGTGCGCGCAGGTCCCAGTGGAGCCCCGGTCCCAGTGGAGCCCCAGTCCCTCCACCCCCGCTACGGTCAGCAAGCCACCAGCCCCTAGACTCACTTTACCAAGCAGTGCGCGGCCGAGAGCACCCAGCGGCGGCTGAGCAGGCTCGCTCCGCAGTGGTGGCCTTTAGGCAGGCGCAGGCTGCCCATCCACGGCCAGGGCCCGCGCACCGAGTCTTTTCCGCCCATCACGAGCGTGTGGATGTTCCGTTGGCCACAGGGCCCTGGGATGGGCAGACGGACACGCGGCTCAGCTGCAGGAGACAGGCCCACCCTGCGTGCCCTCGCCCGTTGCGGTGCGCGAAGCGAAGGGGCTCCCCGGAAAACCGCGCACGTGCTGGGGTCGTCACTCTACGAAGGGGATGCTGGGAGCCCTCCCCACCTGGTCCGCAGGTGCCCGCCCCTTTCCCCCAGGGGCCCATCAGTTACATGTGAGCACCGACGAGTTGTTGAAACCTGGGAGTAGAGAGAGAAAAGATGAGGCGCCCTTTGCTCTCCGGCCCAGGTACCCTGCGCAGAGAAGCGCGTGTCCTGGGTGCCTTACCTGGATACAGCACGACCTGATCCTTCAACCCTGAGGAGAGGCGAGAAAGTAAGCTCCCCTGGGTCTCCACGCGCTCCATCCTCCCCCAACACCCCTCGCTCGGCCGGCAGCCCCCGCCTGAGCTCACCCCGCCTCCCGAGTTCGACTCCCACCAACAGCTGTGCCAGCAGCAGCGCCCCGACCCGCACGTCCATGGCCTCCTCTCCCGGCCGCTAACTTGGCGCCCCCTCTGCTTCCGCCTGCTCCAGGGCCCGCTGGGGGCGCCCCCTGGGGGAGAGGGAGCGACAGGAATCCTGGCCGCCACCTTCTCCCAGCTCGCCCTCGCTGGGTCCTAGGGCTGTTGGGGAACATCACACCTCACAGTGCCCCGGCTTTGAGCTCCTGCTGGGCTGGCTCCCCCAACCACACCCCTTGGGATGGCCCAGGCACCAGCGCATCCAAACAATCCCTTTCTTGCCTGCCACCCTGAGGTTCTGGCTGCCCCTTTGCTACCCACTCCTTCCTCCAGGAACGACTAGGGACCTGGCCCGCAGCCAGGCCTCCCCGAAGGCACGCTGATGAGTCCTCCTTGAGTGCGCATTGGAGGCCTAGCACTGTGTCACCTGCTGTTAAAAGCGATGCTCCGGGCTGGCCCCGTGGCTTAGCGGTTGAGTGCGCGCGCTCCGCTGCTGGCGGCGGGAGTTCCCATCCGACCCGGGGCGCGCACCAACGCACCGCTTCTCCAGCCATGCTGAGGCCGCGTCCCACATGCAGCAACTAGAGGGATGTGCAGCTATGATATACAACTATCTACTGGGGTTTTGGGGAATAAAAAATAAATTAATAAAATTAAAAAAAAATTAAAAATGATGCTCCTGTACAGGACCCACAGAGTGAAAGCTGACCTGATTTTGACCACCTGGGTGGGCTCTTAGCCTCCCTGTCTGCCTGCTGCCCCTCAACAGGCCCCACCAACTCTGTAGAGCCTACAGGCAGCTTTCCTTTCTTGTGGGCGATGTTTCAGGGCACCAAAGTCACCAAGCTGGCTCTTCAGTCATAGATGTGAATGGACAACTGAGTCAGGGTCCACAAGACCACCCTAAGTCAATGATTCACTGGAAGGACTCACAGAACTCGGAAAAGCTGTTCTCATGGTTATGATTTATTACAATGAATGGATACAGGTAACATCAGCAAATGGAAAAGGTGCAGAGGACAGAACCCAGGAGAGACCAGGTGCAAGCTCCCAGCTGTCCCCTCCCAGTTGAGTCAGAAAGACAGCACTTAATTCTCCCAGCAATGACATGTGACAACACACGTGAAGTATTGCCAACCAGGGCAGCTCACCTGAGCCTCGGTGTCTGGAGTTTTTATTGGGGTTCCATCACATAGGCATGGAGCGCCCACATGGCTGACCTTAGTTCTCAGACTCCAGCCCCTCCAGAGGTCCAGCTGATACAGTGTGGCTGAAGGCCCCATCATAAGTCACACTGTTAGCATGAGCTCTCTGGCCTGACCCAAGGCCCCCAGTCTTCAGAGACACTCTTTTCAGGCAGGAGAATCCAGGGGCTCAGAGGTTATTTCCTAGGAGCCAGTCAAGGACCAGTCCCTTCTTTGGACCATGCAGGGTGTTGACATCCTAGGCCTGAGCAGCCAAGGATGAAGAAACGTTCGAGGAAAACCCACACACGCACCAGAAGGATTTATTTGAATAAACTGAACTGACTCCAAAGAAAACTGAGATAATACACCAGGCAGCAAACAACTTGGGAAATTCTAACTGGCATCCTCGGGTGCCAGTTCCAAATCAGAACGTCCCTTGAGAATCCAAGGCCTCAAGTCCACTGCTCACTAGCTGGGTGGCCTTTGGATAGGTAACTTCACCTCCCAAGCCTGTTTCTCACCCGCCAAACGGAGGGAGTGTCCTGAGAGGCGTTTACAGCATTAGACGGGAATTCTATGGGAAAAAAGCAATCAGAGAACAAGAACGAGTGTTTGGAAGTTTATAATATTGCTGAAGGAAAACATTTTTTTTTAATCCCATCTCACTTTATTTTCCACCATAGTTTGTTTTTTTTCCTATTTTTTTATTGATGTCATAATAGTTTACAGCATTTTGAGATTCCAGTCGTACATTATTATTTGTCAGTCACCACATAAATGCGCCCCTTCACCCCTTGTGCCCACCCCCCAACTCCCTTCCCCCTGGTAACCACCAAACTGTTCTCTCTGTCCGTGTCTTAGTTTATAGTCCACATATGAGTGAAGTCATAAAGTGTTTGTCTTTCTCTGTCTGGCTTATTTCACTTAACATAATACCCTCCAGGTCCATCCATGTTGTTGCAAATGGGACGATTTTGTCTTTTTCTATGGCTGAGTAGTATTCCATTGTGTATATATACCACATCTTCTTTATCCACTCATCAGTTGAGGGGCACTTGGGTTGCTTCCACTTCTTGGCTATAGTGAACAATCCTGGAATGAACACAGGGGTGCATAAGCCTCTTTGGATTGTTCATTTCGTGTTCTTTGGATAAATATCCAGAAGTTGGGATAGCTGGATCATAAGGTATTTCTATTTTTAATTTTTTGAGGAATCTCCATACTGTTTTCCATAGTGGCTGCACCAGTTTGCATTCCCACTAGCCCTGAATGAGGGTTCCATTTTCTCCACATCCTTTCCAACATTTGTTATTTTTTGTCTTAGTGATTACGGCCATTCTAACAGGTGTAAGGTGATATCTTAGTGTAGTTCTGATTTGCCTTTCCCTGATGATTAGTGATGTTGAACATCTTTTCATGTGCCTATTGGCCATCTGTATATCTTCCTCGGAAAAATGTCTGTTCATATCCTCTGCCCATTTTTTGATCAGGTTATTTGTTTTTCAGTTGTTCAGTTGTGTGAGTTCTTTATATATTATGGAGATTAACCCCTTGTCGGATATATGATTTGCAAATATCTTCTCTCAGCTGGTGGGTTGTCTTTTCATTTTGATCCTGGTTTCCTTTGCCTTGCAGAAGCTCTTTAGTCTGATGAAGTCCCACTTGTTTATTTTTTCTTTTGTTTCCCTTGTCCGAGTAGACATGGAGTTTGAAAAGGTCCCTCTAAGACCAATGTCAAAGAGTGTTCTGCCTGTATTTTCTTCTAGGAGTTTTATAGTTTCAGGTCTTACCTTCAAGTCTTTGATCCATTTTGTGTTCATTTTTGTGTATGGAGAAAGAAGCTGGTCTACTTTCATTCTTTTGCATGTGGCTGTCCGGTTTCCCAGCACCATTTATTGAAGAGACTTTTGAAGGAAAGCATTTTAGCCAAAGGGCTGCATGGTAAAATGGACACAGCTAAAGAATGAATTGGCAAACTCGAAGATAAAGTAGAGAAACACGTTCAGAATTAGAAGGGAAATGTAAAAAGGGCAGACGACATGAGAGGGAACTGTAAAGGCATGGAGGGTAGACAAGAGTGGTGCTGCGCTGGTCATCGTTTGAGCTGGGTGACAGGTGTAGGGTGTTCTTTGTAGTCATCTACATCTGTGTATATTTAAAATTTTCCATAATGAGTGTTTTTAGTAAAATAAAATAAAGAGTTGAGAAAAGATGGAGACCAGGCCTGGCTCTAGAATCCCCATCAGCAGACTGTTAAAAAGACAGATCTGTCCTCGGTGTTCATTCCATATTCTCCAGGCATCTGTCCACGGCAGTGGGAACTGTCCTAGACCAGTAAAAGTCTGAAGATGAAGACATGTCTCCCCCACTTTGTATATTCCTAACCTAACAGCAGCAGAAACAGGAGCGTGATGAACACACCTGGAAAAAGAGAACTGTGAAAGCCGGCTGCATTTCCAGGTCAAATGTTTTGCTGGGCGTCCCAGTCCACTTGGGCTGTTCTAACAAAATGCCATAAAGTGAGTAGCTTCTAAACAACAAACACTTATTTCTCACAGTTCCTGAGCTGCAGGGCTGGGTTCCAGGTGCTGGCAGGTTCGGTGTCTGGTGAGGGCCCACTTCCTAGGTCAGAGCTGTTGCTTCTCGCTGTGTCCTCACATGGCAGAAGGGGCGAGAGAGGTCTCCGGGATCTCTTTCGGAAGGGCACTAATCCCATTCTTGAGGGCTCTACCCTCATGACCTCATCACCTCCCGAAGGCCCCACCTCTGAACACCGTCGCTCTGGGGGTTAGGATTTCAACATATGAATTTGGGGGGGACACAAACATTCAGACCATAGCACCCGGGCTGTGCGTATTTGACCCCCTTAGTATCACACACAGCAGGTGACCAGCTACCTGCGAGCACAGAAAGTGTTACTGAATGGGTGTGAGTTTTAAGTAACACTCATTGATGACGATAAGGACTCTTGCAATGTCTTCAAATCAGACTTACTGTGAAATGCACTGGCTCTTACATAATTCTGATAATCTAGGAGTTCTCAATCATAGTCTCAAGCAGGCAGGATGTGCCTTTATCCTCATAGGGTATCAGTGAATCATAAAACTTCTGTTTCGGGCCGGCCCCGTGGCTTAGCGGTTAAGTGCTCACGCTCCGCTACTGGCAGCCTGGGTTTGGATCCCGGGCGCCCACCGATGCACCGCTTCTCCGGCCATGCTGAGGCCACGTCCCACATACAGCAACTAGAAGGATGTGCAACTATGACATACAACTATCTACTGGGCCTTTGAGGAAAAAAAGGAGGAGGATTGGCAATAGATGTTAGCTCAGAGCTGGTCTTCCTCAGCAAAAAGAGGAGGATTAGCATGGATGTTAGCTCAGGGCTGATCTTCCTCACAAAAAAAAAAAAGAAAAAAAACTTCTGTTTCTTTTGCAATTACAAAAATCGATAACACCGTTAATGCAAGTACAGTCATGCGCCGCATAACGACGTTTTGGTCAACAACAGACTACACAGACAACAGTGGTCCCATAAGATCAGCACCATAGAGCCTGAGTGAGCAGTGGGCTGTGCCATCTAGGTTGTGTAAGTGCACTCCATGATGTTCGCACAATGATGGAATTGCCTAACAACGCATTTCTCAGAAGTATCCCCGTCGTTAAGCGACGTGTGGCTGTACTTTATTATTTTACAAGTATTCCAGCAAGTATATTCCAAGAAGGGCAAGCATTAGTAGGTTAGAAATTTAATAGTTTTGTAATTTCTTTCTAAATGTTTTCTTTTTATTTTGCTTTGATTTAAAAATCTATATTGATGAAGAAACTGCAAACAAGGTGAAAGTGGCCGTGGACTATCACGTATCAGATGATCTCAGAGGAGTGGAACCCAAGGCTGGCAGTCCTAAGGATGACGTGCAGGGATGTCACATTGACAAAAGTTACAAGCCACTGAAAAGATGTCAGAGGCAGGAGTCTTTATGCCTCCAACAACAGAGCTTTGAAATACATCGAGCAAAAAAATGTTCTCAATACTCAGGAAACTAATAAATCCACATTTTTTTCTCAGAAATCAAGAGATTAGGTAGAGGGGAAAGCAATAACACCAGAGTAGTCACTGAGCATGACTTTTGCCTAAATCAAGCGTTTGGGGCTGCTCAGAGACCCACCATGCCCTCCGGGGGTAGTGAGTCCTTGGAGGGGGAGCTGCCTGGAGGCCAGGTTGATGGGAAGGCTCAGAAAGGAAGGGTCCTTTTAGAGAAGTGGAAAAACCTTAGGAATCAGGAAAGGTCTCTTGCATCCTTCCTCCCCCCAGGGCCCAAGGTTGGTCAGCTCTCCTTTCTTGCCCACATAGCCTCTGTAAGGCCCCTGACCCAGGGGGCCAGGGCCGCAGCTGCAACCAGGGCAGGGGCAATGGACGTCAAGATGCCCGCTGTTCATGGTCAGAGCAGGATGTCAGGGGCAACCGCTTTTCAGGCTGAGAATCCCGCGTCTCCTCCAGCTATTCCATCTCTGTGAATAATGGGTCCCCTGTCAGGCCCTTGAGAGCCCCAGGTTGAAAATGAACGGCCAAGCAGGCAGGGTGGGTGCCCTGGACTCTGCAGTTCCACTCCCCTGACCCCAGGGCACTGGGCACCAGAGTACAGAGCGCAAAGTAGATTTATCTGGCTTTGCCACTTGTAGAGCCTTGGACAAGTCATTCAACCGTCAGAGTCTCAGTTCCTCTGCTGGAGAATGGAGCTCATAATAACTCCCAGGGAATCAGGCAAGAGGTATATGGCATGGTTGGCAGAGTGCCAGCACACGCTAGGTGATGCCAGGGCCAGGGCAGGGGAGGGAAGGCCCTGAGGGTCTTGCCAAGGATGTGGAAGAGGCCACGGTTCCTGTGCCCAAGAGCAGTGAGGGGGCCCAAGGCCTGAGGACAAGGAGAGGAGGTGTCAGCCCCACCCCAGGGCAAGCCCAGAAACTCAGGCTGGAGCTGCAATCATTTTCCCTCTCCTGAGTGTCTGAGGACTCTGACCCCAAGAGCCAGCCCGGAAGTGGCAGCGGGAGCGCAAGATGGAGCTGGCCCTCACAGCCACCCTGCTCTCCCTCCTCCTAGGAGCCCTTCAGGGGAGCACCCCCGCTCTCCCATCCAACTTCTCCTGGACGAGTGCCACAGGGATAGACCTGGACTCCGGTAGGACAGGTATCAGGGTACCGCAGGAAAGAGAGCCAGGGTTTTAGAGCCAGATAAGAGGGGTGTGTGATAAAGAGGGGTGCCCTGCCCCTTAAAGCCTTGTATTTGGGCGGGTCCGCTAAGGAACCCAGACTTCGGGGGCCAGCATCTACTCCCCCAGACCTCAGTGCCTTCACGGCTCCCACCTGAACCCACTGGCCAGGCACATTCTGTGTCACATGGCCCTGCAGTGGCATCAGACTCTCCCCAGGAGCCCGGCTGCGCTGCCCACACCTCCCCTCTCTCCACCAAGCTCCGCTGAGCAATCCAGGCCACCAGTTCCCACCTCCCCCAGCTCAGCTGCTGTGCACCCCCCCAGGGTCGTCAAGTTCTCCCATCAAGGAGAGGGTCACGCCTCCCTGAGCCTGAGGAGGGCCCACGAGAGGCAGGGAGAAAGGAGGGCAGGTCTGTGGGTTAGGGGAGCCCAGAGGTGACCTCGGTAACCCGGCCTGTGGACTCACCCTGCAGTGTGTGGACGCCCACAAGTGTCAGGCCGCATCACGTCAGGGCAGGATGCCCAGTCCGGTGAGTGGCCGTGGCAGGTCAGCCTGAGGGAGGATAGAGAGCATGTGTGTGGGGGCTCCCTGATTGCCGAGGACTGGGTGCTGACTGCAGCCCACTGCTTCGACCAGTGAGTATCTGTGGGGGCACGAGCATGAGCTGGGGCCAGCCGGCACCTACCCTTCAGCCCTCCCCAACGCCCTCCCTTCACCACTTGAACAGGAGCCTCCTTCCCACCTGGGCAGGAGACAGACAGGGGACGTGTCCTCCAGGGTCTCATTTGTCCACCCAGGATGGCCCCAGTTCCCGGGCTGGGCACGGGGAAAGAGTCAGGGAGGAGACAGCCCCAGCCCCAGCCTTCCCATTGTCCACCTTCCAAGAAATGATTCATTTCCCAGAAACCAAAATCTCCCAAATCAGAAGGTCCCTTGAGAATCCAAGGCCTCAAGTCCACTGCTCACTACCTAGGTGGCCTTTGGACAGGTGACTTCACTTCCCAAGCCTGTTTCTCACCCGCCAAACGAAGGGAGTAATGGGCGCCATGTAGGGTCGCCACTGGGATGTGCTCAGCTTGTAAAAAAGTCCATCCGTAATGTTAGTACCCTCGAATCAAGATGGCACTTAGCCCCACCCATGGGCCCTTGGCATAGCCTTCTCAACCCCTTGACTTATCCCCCCCCCCAGGAAACAGCCGCTGTCTGCCTACACGGTGCTCCTGGGGTCCATCTCCTCCTACCCCCAGGTCGATGATCCCCAAGAGCTCCGAGATGTGGCCCAGTTCATCATCCACCCGAACTACTTGGAGGAAAACAACAGGGGGGACATCGCCCTAGTACAGCTGGCCTCACCCGTCACCTTCAGTGACCTCATCCTTCCAGTCTGTCTCCCCAGCCCTGGAGACCCCCTGGGTCACGGCACGTTGTGCTGGGTCACCGGCTGGGGGAACATTGGCACAAATCAACGTAAGGACGTCTAGAGCGGGGTGGGGGTAGGTGGGGATGACTCAGTGGGGGCCCTCCCTGGGGCCAGCTGCCCTCGTACAGGACGGAGGTGGAGCCCGCACACACTGGTTTCGCCACAGCAGGGGGAGCCGTTGAAATACTGCCGTTTGCCAATGCAGAAGCCGCCTGCCATCCCATTCCCTCCTTGGGCTCCCCAATCCGTCCTCTCAGCATCCGATAACCGAAGGATTAATGCCAGACCCACAGAGCGCTCCAGGACACTGGCCCCACCTGGGGCCCAGACCACGCCACAGGCTAGTGCCCATGCCATTTATGCGGTTAGAGAACTCACACGTCACCCTTGCCCTCACGGGCCAGGGTCTGCAGCCTGGCCTCAGTCCTGGCCGGGTGACCATCAGCCTCAGTGGGGCGTGGTTTCCTCCTCTGGCAAGTGGAGATCTCAAAAGTGCCGACCTCATGGGGTCAGGGTGAGGGTTACATGAAATGATGCATTTCAGGCACTTCCAATAGGGCCGGGCAATACGTCAGCCACTGTCGTCCTCATCATCATCGTCATGTTTGTAATATCACCTCATATCAGTGTCCTGGGGCTGCCGTAACAAAGGACCACAAACTGGGTGGCTTAAAACAACAGAAGTGTATTCCTTCCCAATTCAGGAGGCTACAAGTCTGAAATCAAGCTGTCGGCAGGGCCATGCTCCCTCTGAAGGCCCCAGGAGGGAATCCTTCCTTGTCTCTTCCAGCTTCTGGTGGCTCCAGGCAATGCTTGGTGCTCCTTGGCTGGTGGCTGCATCACTCCGGTCTCTGCCTCCGTCTTCATACCGCCTTGTCCCTGTATGTCTCCCTGTGTTTTTTCCTTTCCTCTCTTATAAGGACACTCTCACCCTAACCCAGTATGATCTCATCTTAACTAATTACCTATGCAAAGCCCCTATTTCCAAATAAGGTCACATTCTAAGGTTCTGGGTGGATATGAATTTTTGAGGGGCACGATTCAACCCACTTTTGACCTGAGGCTTGGGCAGCCAAGAAGGGTAAGGGTCATTTGGTGGAAGTGCCTTGATCACAGTCCATGGCTGTGGCCAGGGCCTGAAACCAGGTCTCAACTCTTGCCCCTCACCCCACTGCGTGTCCATCCCACCCCATTCCCCAGGCGCTGGGAGGAAGGCTGAGGCCGAGGGGGCCTCCACACCTCTGGGCATGCCCCGCCAGGGGGAGAGGGAACAAGTCTTCCTGGAGTTCTGAACGTTAAACGCAGGCTCGCCTCACCACCTTGGCCTGTTCGTTGGGGTTTCTTGAGCACAAACGCAGGTCCCTCTTCCTCGGGAAGCGGCGGAGCGACACGCAGAAACGCCTTCTTGTCAGTGGCCCACCCGAGTGTGGGCGAGTAGGGACAAGCCAGCTGAGAGCCAGGAGGTGGCCACCTCCCCTCTGAGCTCTGCTCTCTGCTCCCCACCCCAGCGCTCCCTCCTCCCTTCACCCTGAAGGAGCTGGAGGTGCCCCTCATCGATGCCCAGACCTGTGACGCCTACTACCATGAGAACTCCGACGTCCCCAGCCAGGAGCCCATCATCCTTGAGGACATGCTGTGTGCCGGCTTCGAGGACGGCAAGAAGGATGCCTGCGGGGTGAGCAAGCACCCCGGTGGGGGCCGGGTCTCCCACTCCCCATCACCACTGGGGCCCCCTAGGGCAGAGGCGGGCAACATTGGTTAAGACACAAGCGGCAATTCAAAAAGAAAAAAAATGTCCCTGGACGCTGTCTCTCTTTCAACGTTCATACAAATATTGTCGGAACACGCAGTACCTGTAGCTGTGCTTCGGCGAACTGGGACCATACCCTGTCCCTAAGTCTTTCCCTTTGGGGCCAGAAATTTCTTTTTTCTTTCCAGAAAACAACACTCAGAGCCTTTGAACAAATTTTCCTGAGAGCAGGTCCCTTCTAGGCTGGGTCGGCCTTGTCTTTCCTTGTCCTCTCTTGTAAGCAAAACACGCTTTCTCTCACATCGCCTCTTAGTATTGCTTCGTCTCAAACAGATTTTTTTCATCCAAAACGAAGCAGACAGCGTTCTTAGCAACACAGAAGTGCTCCTCAGAGCCCATCCTCTGAAACATACAGTTTTATTTAGAGAATAGAGTGTTCCCATGGTACTGCTTGTCGCACCTGCCAGGAATTTCACCCTTAATTCCCAGACCAGCCACTCGTGCCACCTTCCAGAAAGATCTAATCCACCGATCCTCTGTCCACAAGAGCTGGCCAGCAGACCTGAAGGGAAGTTGGTGGGACTGGGGCCCCTGTGAGCCTCAGACTCCCACCGTGTAGGGAGGGCGGCTACATTTCTGAACTCCTTTTCTCCCCAGGGTGACTCCGGAGGCCCCCTGGTCTGTGACGTTCGTGGCATCTGGATCCAGGCAGGAGTGGTGACCTGGGGGTCCGAGTGCGGCCTCCCCAAGAGGCCAGGTGTTTATGCCAATGTCAGCTTCTACGCCCCGTGGATTGCCAGCACAATAGGGAGCTCAGCCCCAGAACTCAGAACCTTCTCTCCAGGCCTTGCTGGGATCGTCTTCTCTGCCCTGCTGTTGCTTCTGGGACCCCTGGGGGGCACCCTCGACTCCCTGGGGCTTGTCTAACCTGGCGGCCAGCCCTGCAGCCTCAGCCCCTACATTCCAAACTCATCCCTCTCTCAGCTCCCTGCCAGGAGTGCAGGAGGCGGCTTCTTGCAGGGACCCCTCCCCAAATCCCCCCTAGTCAGCCTCTCACGTCCCCCATGGGCCCTAAGCTGCCCTCTCACCCTCCCTGCCGGCCTGGGGACCCCCAGGGACAGAGCCTACTGTTGCCTGCTCCACGCCCACCATCCAAGGCTGAGTCCCAGGGTGCCCCCACGCTCAGGGATTCCTGTGGGAGTTTCTGGGCTCTTGGAACTGGGGAGTCCAGCCCCGGTGCTGGGCTGGTGCCTTTGCAGGCGTGTCTGTCTGAGAGGCAATAAAGATGAGTTGGCAGAAGGGAGAAGAATTCCTCCCCCTGGGCGATCCTCCCTGTGCCTTGGAACCCCGGAAGTGTACATTTGAGAGTATCTACCGTGTGTGGGAGCTTTGCCCTCAGGGTGTCACTGGATGCTCACAAGAGCCCTGTGAGGCACACATTTCTATTATCTCCATTTTTCAGACAGGGAAACTGAGGGGTGCAAGGTCCCCAGCTTGCCTGAGCCCATTCTCTCCAGTAGCCCTGTCCCTCGGCTCAGGGGATGGCAGAGCAACACGTCCTGGAGGTCCTGGGGTCATGGCAGGGCTGGGTGTGAATCCCAGGGTCATGGCAGGCCTGGGGTCCTGGGGTCATGGCAGGGCTGAGGGCGAATCCCAGGGTCATGGGCAGGTCTGGGGGTCCCAGGGTCATGGCAGGGCTG